AGCTATTTATAGGGGATTAAAGGGTATAATCAACCCCTTAAATCGCTCCTAAGTGGGGTGTAATCCCCCTCAAATCATGGAAAACGGTTTTTGGAACCGTTCAATTCATGTTTGAACGAGTCAAATGCAAAACTCGCGTTCTGGGCATGAACTCTGCGTCCTGGACTTGGAATGCAGAGTTGAGCTTTGCATTTGAGGCCAAAAAAGGCAGTGGTGAGCCCAACGTTTTATTGCTTGGAACGTAGAAATGAACTCTGTGTTTTATTCTTGGAACGCAGAGGCGAGCTTTACGCTTTTTGAGTTGAAGAGACTATTGATTTGTAGTCTCTTTAGTTAGAACGTTGCAAAGATTGCGATCTTCATCTCGACTCCATGGAATGTGAGAGTTGTCAGTTGTAACTCATGTTGATGATTGTGAAGGCCGTTGAATCAGAACTTCCATCGGTTATTGTGAAGGTCGTTGAATTGTAACCTTCGTTGATTGTCGTGAAAGTCTCTAAATTGTAGCCTTATGGAAGTCATCGAATTGTAACTTCTATTATCAGTATTTGGTGGGAATCAGCCATCTACAGTAATTTTTAGATACCATACAAACTCATGAAATTGTGAATTTTGGTCTTCTCAAATTCTCAAAATTATTGATCAGTAGGTCAAAACAACTAAGAATGATCTATAATCATGAATTTTTACCTCCACAAAATTATGTGCCAAAGGACCAATACAACTAAAAATGGCTAAGAACTATGAGTTATAGTTCACAAAATCATAAATTTTGATCTATGTGAAATTATTTACTAATGGGTCAAAATAATTACATATGATCAAAAATCATGTATTATAGCTTATAAAATTGTGAATTGTGGCCACCGCAAGACACAAGGTCAAAATGACTCATAATTACCAAAAATTAGGGGTAATATCTTATTTGATTGTAAATTTTGGCTTTCACAAAATTATTTGCCAACTGAAAATGGCTAACGAGGATTACAACTCATGAAATCATGAATTTTTGCATAACAAAATTATTTGTCAACACCCGAAATGACTAAAAATGGTAAAAAAATCATTGATTATACCTCATGAAATCGTAAATTTTAGTTTTCACAAAATTATTTGCCAACAGGTTGAGTTAACTAAAAGTAGCCCAAATCGTGTGTTATAGCTCATGAAATTATGAATTCTGACCTCTGTGAAATTATTTGCTAATGGATCAAAATAATTAAAAATGACAAAAAATTGTGGGTCATAGCTCACAAAATTGTGAAGTTTGAACTTTGTTAAATTAATTACCAACGGTTCAAAATGACTAAAAATAGTAAAAAATCATGGATTATAACTCAAACAATTGTGAATTTTGGTCTCTGTGAAATTAATTGCTATCAGGTCGAAATAACAAAAAAGACTAAAAATTATGGGTTATAGCTCGCAAAACAATGAATTTTGGCTTTTATAAAATTATTTGCCAATGGATCAAATTGACTAAAAACAATGGTGGATTTTAGCTCATGAAATTGTGAATTTTAATTTCTAAAAAATTATCTGCCAACCGATTCAAATGACTAAACAATACCAAAATTCATGGGTTTATGCTGCAAGAGATCATAATTTTTGGACTCCATGAAATTATTTATCATTGGGTCAAAATGACTACAAATGGCTAAAAATATTTGGTTATAGCTCGTGAAGGCATCAAGTCTGGACTTTGCAAAATTATTGGCCAATGGGTTTAAATTACTGAAAATGACCAATAATCATGGGTTATAGCTCATGAAATCAGAAATTTTAGCCACCACAAAATTATTTGACAACTAATCGAAATGACTAAAAATAAAAAAAATATATGGATTTTAGCTCAAGAAATTGTGAATTTTGGCGATCACAATTTTTTTTGCTAATGGAGCAAAATGACTACAAATAAAAAAAATCATGGGGTATAGCTCATAAAATCTTGAATTTTAGCTTTTACAAATTATTTGCAAATGGGTTAGAATGACTAAAATGGAAGGAAAAAAAGCACGGATTATAGCTCATGAAATCACGAATTTTGGCATTATTATTTGCTAATGGGTCAAAATCATTAAAAATGGTTTAAATAATAGGTTATAGCTCATAATATCATTAATTTTAGCATTCCATTAAATTAGTTGCCAGTAGTCAAAATAACTAAAAATGGACTAAATCGTGGATTATAACTCATGAAATCTTTAATTTTGACCTCTACGAAATTATTTAACAACAGGTCAATATGGCTCAAAATAGTTAAAAAATTATGGGTTATAGCTCACAAAATCATGAATTTTAGCCACTATGAAATCATTTAATAACGAGTCAAAATGGCTAAAATTACAAAAAAAATCATGGGTTATAACTCACAAAATTATGAATTTTGGCCGCTTCAAAATTATTTGTCAGTAGGTCAGAATGACTAAAAATAGCCAAAATTTTTGGGTAATAACTAAAGAAATCATAAATTTTAGCCTGCACGAAATTATTTGCCCACAGGTCAAAATGACTAAAAATACCTAAAAATCATGGATTTTAGCTCTTGAAATCAAGAATTTTCACTTCCCTAAAATTATTTGCCAACGGGTCGAAAAGAGTAAAAATAGCTAAAATTTGTTGATTATAGTTCATGAAATCTTGACTTTTTGTTTCTACGAAATAATTTGCCAACGGATGAAGCAACTAAAAATTACCAAAAATATTTTGTTATGGCTCGTGAAATCATGAATTTTGGCATCCAAGAAATTATTTGCTAATGGTTTAAAACAGCTAAAATGGGTCAAAATCGTGTGTTATAGCTCACAATATTGTGAATTTTGGACTGAGAAATTATTTGTCAATTGTTCGAAATGACTACAAATGGCCAAAAATTATGGATTATACCACACATAATCGTAATTTTTGTTATCCGAAGGATATAGGCTAGCGCGTCGAAATGACTAAAAATTGCCAAATATAGTAAGTAGGCTATAGTTCCTAAATCTATGAATTTTTACCTCCGTGAAATTATTTCCTAATAGATCGAACCAAATAAAAATAACCAAAAATCGTATGTTAATGCTCACTAAATTGCAAGTTTTAGGCTCCATGAAATTATTTGCTAATAGGCCGAAATAACAAAAAATAAAAAAAATCATAGGTCATAGCTCATAAAATCATGATTTTTTCCTCTAAAACACTATTTAACAATGGCTTGAAATGACTCATTAGTTTTGACCTAAAAAATTATTTGCCATTAAATAAAAATGAATGAAATTGGAAAAAAATTGTGGGTTATAACTCATAATATCATAAATTTTAAACTCCATAAAATTATTTTCCATTTGGTTAAAATGAACAAAATTGTACACAAATCACAGGTTATAGCTTATAGAGTTGTTAAATTTGGACTTTGTAAATGTTTTTGCATTTAGGTTGAAATTGAAGAAATTCGTGTGTTATAGCTCATGAAATAATGAATATTGAATTCTAAAAAATTATTTACCATTGGATCAAAATAAAAAATGTACAAATATCATGGTTTATAGCTCATGAAATCATGAATTTTAAACTTTATGAAATTATTTCTCATTGGATCGAAATTAATAAAATGGATAAAAATTATGGGTTATATATCATGAAATCATGAATTTTAAACTCCAAAAAATTATTTGCCAATGAATCAAAATGAACAAAATCGGACAAAAATTGTGGGTTATAGCTCATGAAATTATTAGTTTTGGACTCCGTAAAATTATTTGCTATCAAGTATAAATGAACAGAATTGGACAAAGATCATGTGCTATAGGTCATAAAATCACGAATTTTAAAGTCTAAAATTATATTTGTCATTAGATCAAAACGAAAAACAATTGACAAACATTGTGAATTATATACCATGAAATTATAAATTTTAAACTTTGAAAAAAATTTCACTAGCTTATCATATTAAGAAATTATGAAATTTCATATTTGAATATAAAACATTGTGAATTATACCTCATGAAATTATAAATTTTAAACTTTTAAAATTTATTCACTAGCTTATTATATAAAGAAATTATAAAATTACAGATTCTTATACTCGAAAAGTTTATATTTATCTATTAAGGGGTATACATATTTATGTGGACGCCCACATCCAATTTTGATAGGTGCCCCCACTCCAACAAAAAATGAGACTACTTAGAAGCCAATTTCAAAGGTTTATTTTTGAAACTTAGTAGCTATTTGTTAGTTTTTGTGATACTAAATAAAAATTATCAGGTATTGACGTACATAAAAAAATTTATGATAATGAAAAATACAAGCTAAGGCCCAAAACCTTCGACTCTTCTTTCTATATGGGGGTGCCTAGGGCGACTCATCTTGTCATTTGTCATTGCTCACTCCCAGTAGGCCGAAGTGTTTGGCATGATAATGAAAAATACAATTTGTTGAAATATTTGTGACATTGTATAAATAAAATTCTATATTAGGAAAACTTATCTAATACAAAATTATTAAATTTATTAATTTATGTATACGATTGAACTTGTGCCCTCATAGGGAAAAAAATTGTGGATCCATCCCTAGGAGATTAGTTAAAGTACAATAATACATTTTTATGGGGAAATATTTTTTATTTATTTAAAGAAAAGGACAATTTTGATATAATTATGAAAAATTGGTGAGCTTATAAGAGTCCTTATAGAATAGACCCCCTCACTCTTCATATTTCCCTCCAAACCAGGGGATGCTTCTCTCTCTGTGCTTTCAATTTATTATTTTTACCCTATCTCCCCTTCTACCCGACTAGGTGTATGAGTTAGTAGGAGACAAAGTTTGAGGGGGTCCGTGTGAAATTGTCCAAAGTTCGGTGGGTTTTATGAAAAACACCCTCTGATTGCTCGAACTACGTCTCATAACTCCCGCTTTCGTTTATGGCGGGTTAAAAACAGAAAATTCAAAAAGAAAAAGAAGCTAAATTTCCTACGTTTCCTCCGACTCCCCCCATTCCCCCCTACTTCCCTCTCCTCTCAAATCGCTCAATCCCTCACCCCCACCCAAAAATAAAATAAAAAAAATAAATAAAAAAATAAATAAAAAGCCCAAAAGATCGAGTCTTGATCTCTCAAGCTTCCAACAATGGAGCTGTTCAAGAGCGCGAGGACGGTGAGGCTGAAGAGCCACCATGAAAAGTACCTCCAAACCGACGACGACGGCGAGCACGTGATCCAGGACCGCACCGCGCCGCCCGGTGTCCGTCGAGTTCCCGCTCGCAGCGACGTCCGTCATCCGCCTCAAATCCTGCCAGCGGCCGCTACCTGACCCGCCTCCAACGAGCCATGTTCCTGGGGATGACACGGGCACCGGGTAACCCTGACGGCGCCCGCCACGTCGATTGTCCGTTGATTGGGAGCCAATCCGCGACGGGTTTCAGGTCAGATTCTTCTAATGATTCTAAGTGGGGGTATCAAAGTGAAATAGGATTGATACGGTGGGGTTCGGAGTAAAAATAGCTTTTTTTACTTTTGGTATGTTAATGATTCTTCCGTCTTTAAGTTTTATCTTGTTATTTGCTTGTATGTTATTCCATTTTTACTAACTATGCACTCGAATGGTTTCATCGTGCAATCAAGAAGCAACTTTCTATCATTGGTTAGTGATCCTAAACATGATTATTTACATTTTGGTATGTTTATATTTCATTAAGTATGGTTAGATTATATTTTAGGATATTATAGTATGTATATACGGTATCCGGTAATATAACTATGATAAAGACTACTTATCCCCGATATCCGCTATCCGATATGAATTTTGACCGTCCGATAAATCACCGATAACCGATATTTGAAACCTTGTGGGTAAATACCCTTCAAAACAACAAATAGGTACACAGATAAGAAAACATGGCATAGATTGACGGAGGATAAACTAAATATTTTTCTATGATGAAACGGCAAATGATCGAGCCACACCTCCACGCAACATGACATGCTCTTGGTATATTCTTCCCATTCTTGTTGTTTAAATTGAAAACAAAATCATTATATTCTCTCAAAATAAGCCAACAAGTTTCCATAGTCATCATACTATTAATTTCAGGTCAGGCTCAGGACACGGTACGGCCACTATCTTAGGGCAAACGGAGGTTTGCCGCCGTGGAGGAATTCGATCACGCACGACATACCTCATCGGACGACAACACAAGATTGGGTGTTGTGGGATGTGGAGGTCGTCGAGGTGCTGCAGCATCAGGAATGGAGGGAGAAGCAGCAAGAGACGAAAATTTACGCACCGCCGCCTCCACCGCCGGAGACTGAAGAGAGGTGGGGGGAGTCGTTGACAGAGGACACGCCGTCGAGAACTCCATCGAATTCAACGAAATCGCCGGGGAGGTTGTCTAGAGATGAGGTTTGGTTCTTCTTGATTTTGGTCCTTTTTAAAAATTATATATCATATATTTATTGAACTAGTTATTCTGTACCCTGTATCCAAATGAGCACTTTCTACATTGGAAGGGCAGCGCATATAAAAAGAAAAAGGAATATTTTTGAATATTCATTGAGCGTCTTATATTAGATCTTGCATCATATATCAATCTTATATGATTTTATTTTATTGCTTTTGGTTTTAAATGTGATCATCTTTGCAGTCATTGCCTTCTTTTAGTGGCTCTCCACACAAGTCGGATGGCCGATCAATCTATTATGTGATCGCCGAGGATGATGGCACTATCGATAATAGCACTGAGCTTTGCTTGACCTTCAAAGGAACAGATGTTAAGGAATTGACAGAGAAGTTGGCAGAAGTAACTGAGATTGATGATGGGATAATTGTGTGTTCAAAAAATCCGTTCAATGGAATGCTCTGTCCTCTTCTTTTACATCTTCCACCGAACAATACGACGATGCATGTTGTGGTTGTTCGATCCTCGTCCGAAGGTTAGTTTTTTTCTTGCTTTTGTGGAAATCCCTGCTTGATATCTGAAAAATAAGTAATAAATGTCTTTAAAATCCCAGAAGTTCTTCCCATATCAGTATTATTTTTCCAGCATAGTTGCAGCCCCCTTCTAAGGACAAATGTTTTGATGGGTTTCCATTATTAGTGATATTTGCGCGCTACAATCGTCGTTACTGGTTTAAAGCTTCACGACAGTCTAGTTCGATAACTCCTGAAGTAAATCATACCAAACTAATTTTTTGAAATAAGCAATTGACTTGATCATGTTAATCACACCTTAAGCATGTCCACCGTGTAAGCTAAAATTTAACTGTTAGTCTGAAGTAAGCACCATTAATTAATACCTCATATGTCAGTTCGAAGCTGAGATTTTGAACTTAAAACGATTAATACTCTCCAAATGCCATTTAAGAAATTAAGATAAGAATGTCGTTACGATAAGTTATTAAGTTGGTTTGTAGTTCATAGTTCCTTTCTAGTTATTCATTTCAATTAAATCTTCTTGAGGTTGACCTTTCGATTTTCTCGTTCTTATTATTATTTTTATTCTTTTTATTATTTCTTTAGTTTATTACACTGAACATCTTTGTTGTATACTTACTTTATTCAGTATTCCACCATGGCTTGATCTATCTTCATCATATAAGTTATACCAATGTTTCTAACGCTTTCTTGGTGTTGTAACAGTTGCAAAGAGTTTCAAGTAGGCTGAGATTTGGAGAAGTTAATTAGATCTTATTTCTTGATGGGGATACCTTTGAAAGAAACATTTTCCTTCAATTTGCGAGGTCATACCTGATGTAAATAGCCTCATAGAGACCCAAGCAAATGTATGTGATATTTTGTAGTCTATTAACGGAGGTGTTTGCAATGATTGATATTTATAAATGTGCACTTCTTGTTACTTTTTTCAACAGCAGTAACAGCATTGACCAAGCTAGATATCCAAAGAACTGAATTTAATTTGGTTTATGTACTCTTAACTGTAATAATGCACATTTTTTACCTCTGATCTTGAATCCACTTGGCTATTCTGAGGTGAAAGTAGCGAAGGGCGATTTACTGAACATCTTCAGTGTGGAAAGTAGATTATCCTCTAGTTTTCGCAACGGGGAACCGGGAGAAAGGGGAATTAAAATATATTTTGTTGAGACGGGAATTTTTCCATGAACGGAATTTGGTGTAGGAGAGGGATCAAAAAGGCTAATAATAAAAGAAAACCCACACAAGGTATTTTTGACCTTTTCCTTCACAATCTGGTGTTTGGTTTGCAAAAAAACCAAAAAGAAAGTGACGGAAAATAAAAGCACTATGTTGAATTTTTTACCTAGAAAAATTTTCGGAGTTGAGAGGCCGATTACGAGAGAAAACTCGACATTTTCTCTCTCCGTACCCTAAAACATTTACGAGGGTTCGCGATCAGTGTTTATTTTTTTCCGCCGCTACTCGATCTGGTCACCTCCGCCACCTAGGGTTCGCCTTCCTCCTCCGCCTTCCTTCCTTCTTGTGTTCCTCCTCCACCGTCAAATACAATCTCGTTTTCCTCCTTCGCCTTCATCCCGCCGTGCAAAGGCCAGCAAAGTGATCTCCGCAGGCTTCCCTCCCGCCTTCCCACCGTGCAAAGCCCAGCGACGTAACCTCCTCCGCCTTCTCGGCTATTGTTTAGAGGTAATTTGTTTAATTTTTATTTTTTAGGTTACTAAATCTTTGATAAAATGCTCATTTTAGGGGTTTTAGTGTTGGGATTTCATTTGATGGATTTTATTCTTCTTAAAAGAAAATTTAAATTCCCTGTCCATGAATTTCAGTTAATCTACTACATTTTATTATTGATTAAGCTTATGAGAGTTTGTTTTAATTATAAAAATTAGTAATTTTCTTGTATATAAATGTGAAGAATAGCTCGCACTTTTTTAAAGTAATTTTGTAGTATATTAAAAGTAATTTTGTAGTTTAATGTGGTATATATGATGAAAGTTTCAATGAGAAGTACTAAGAAAGTTCTTATTGGAGTTTGGTACCCTGGATATTATGTAGTTTTTTTTTAGCAAGTTATTCCAAGAAAGGGGAGGTTCTATTCATGATGGTGGAGAAAGATTGCACCTACATATTGGAAGAGAGTCACTGCTTCATGTTATCATTGTAAATTATAGATTCATGACTCTATGGTCATTCTTGCCAATGCACTTTGTATATTGATAGAATTGTCTATGGTCAATGGTATTGAGATTGTGATTCTTTATAAATAATTACAATTGTACTTGACTTTATTACGGCCTCATTGAAGTCGAAACTTTCATTTGTTTGGCGAGTCTAGTAGGTATAGGAATATTATTATTTGTTGGTATAAGATTTCACCCTTAAAACTTGTTAATATTATGAAACAATTTTAATTGTTTCCAAATGTTTAAGTAATGTTTTGTAAGCACTTAAAAGTAATTTGCGTATATTGTTAATTCCTACGGCTTGAGCATGGTGCATTTCTTAGTTGGTAAACTGTGTGATTGTTTATACAATGTAATGGTTAGCGTATCTTGATAATTGCATGATTTGGTTTGTTTTAATAATGTTAATACATACTTTAATATGATGCTAGTATTATAGATGGATGGTGACCTTGATGAAGAGACTGTAATTAACATGTGCTCGGGTGCCATACTCTTTGTTTTAGTCATGATTATGATATTTATGAGGAGAATGCAAAATAGATGTAGGTCCATTCGTCAGGGTCCTAATAAGGAGAAAATAAAATAATATAAAATTAAAAAAGATCACATGGACCGAATATATATAATGGATTCAGTGATAGTTGTATCAACTATGTTAGAATGCGCAGCAGTGCTTTTATGAAGCTTACAGAAATTATGAGGAGGAGTGATTTGTTACGAGACTCGAGACACGTTACAGTGGACGAGCAACTTGCTATGAATTTGAATATATTGGGGGCATAAAACTAAAAATCGAATCATTATGTCACATTTAATTAGATCTGGTGAGATTGTAAGTAGATGTTTTAACAAGGTGTTAGAAGCTATTTGCCACATACGTCCTCTCTTCTTGAGACATACGCGGAATGAAGTTCCGCAAGAGAGCATTAACAATCTGTTATACTACCCTTATTTTAAGGTATACACTCTATACATTGTGAATACCTCCATTACTTTTTAATTTAATACAAATATTCACTAGTAATATTTTATAATCTCTAGGATAGGATTGTATCGGTATGATAGATGGAACACATATTGATACTATGTTACCCGCCCATCTTGCTCCATGATTACGTGGTCGTAAAGGAGTCACACAAAATATTCTAGCAAAGTGTACTCCAAACAAACTATTCACCTACATATTAGCAGGGTGGGAAGATTCTGTAAACGACTTTAGAGTCCTTCAAGATTCATTATCTAGGCCACCACCTCATGGCCTGAGAGTATATGATGGTAATTTCATTAAAATTTTAAATCCTACATATTTACTTCAACAATAAGATTGATATACAATGCAATGTTAAAGAATACTAATAAACAATTTTATATCATAAAAATTGTAGGAAAATATTACTTGTGTGATACTGGATATACGACCATGCCTGGTTTCATCTCCCCATATCGTGGTGTCTGTTACCATTTGAAGGAACAAATAGCAAGAACATCCAAAAATAGAAGGGAATTATTCAATCTTAGACATTCTTCATTAAGATCTAAGATTGAATCTACATTTGGTTGTTTGAAAAATCGTTTCAACATTCACACTACTAAGCCTCATTACTCATTTCTGTTGGGGAATTCGAAACAATCAATCGAACCCTTGCCCTTCCGGACCTTGTGTTGAAAGTAGGAAAGTAGGAATAAACCACAAATAAAGATCTAACCTTGTAAAAACAGTAAAAGAGATGAACACACAGATTTAACGAGGTTCGGCAACGTGCCTACGTCCTCGGGAGCCACACCACACAATCTTTCTATTAATTGAAGAAGAAAATACAAGCTCTCAAACAAGGGGTAAATCTCTCTGAGATTCTCTCTCTCTTAGCAGTCAAAAAGCTCTCTTTTTAATGTCCTACAAACCCTAGAAACGTTTGGGTATTTATAACAAACCCCAGCAGAACAGGATTCCTAGATAAAATAGGAAACAACGAATCTGCGTCGCGGTCGACCGCTTTGCCAAGGTCGGTCGACCGGTCAGAACGACGAAATCCTACAGGGTCTTGTGCACGATATCGGTCGACCGCAGCGACCACGCCGGTCGACCGGCCAGAGCGAAAACTTCTTCTCAGTCTCCTGCAGTGCACGCGGTCGACCGGCTCTGCCACTGCGGTCGACCGCACAGTCTTCTGACTGTTTTCTTCGTCTTTTCGATTGCAGCTTTGGGTCTACACACTTAGACTAACAATCTCCCACTTGGAGACCAAAGCGTCATCAACGAGCTCACCCGAACTCTCCCCTTCTTCGCATGTATCTTTTCCCCCGAAAAATTCTTTCTTCAATCAACATCCCGACGATCGCGCCGATCCTCGTAGTGTGGCTCCGCCTTCGTCTTCTACTCGTGAAGGCCAACTGAAGTTGCGCACAACTCCAGTTTCTCAATGGTGACTGCCTTCGTCAACATGTCCGCCGGATTTTGACTCCCCAAAATCTTCATTAAGTGCAACTTTCCGTCCTCGATCAGCGAGCGTATAAAATGGTATTTAACGTCGATGTGCTTCGTTCTGGCATGATATACTGGATTCTTGGCAAGATGTATAGCGCTCTGGCTATCACAATAAAGAACTCCTCTCCCTTGCTTCAGATCCAACTCTTCCAAGCACCCGTTCAACCAGATCATCTCCTTGCTTGCTTCAGTCACCGCGACATACTCAGCCTCGGTTGTAGACAAAGTCACAATCTTCTGCAGACGTGAGACCCAGCTCACTGCTGTCGACGCTAAGGTATAAACATACCCCGTGGTGCTTCGCCTCGTATCATGATCACCGGCGAAGTCCGCATCCACGTATCCCTGCAGCACCAACTCCTTCCTCCTGAAACATAGTGGCTTGTTCGTTGTTCCCCTCAAGTACCGCATTATCCACTTTACGGCCTCCCAATGCTGCTTTCCTGGATTGCTTGCAAATCTGCTCACAACTCCCACTGCATGGGCGATGTCCGGCCTCGTGCAAACCATCGCGTACATGAGACTCCCAATGGCTGAAGAATATGGCACCCTGCTCATATGCTCTCTATCTGCATCTGTCTTAGGCGATTGCTCCTCAGATAACTTGAACTGACTTCCAAGGGGTGTGCTAACAACTTTAGCATTCTGCATGTTGAACCTCTGAAGTACCTTCTCAATGTATTCAGCTTGGCTCAAACTCAATGTCCCTTCAGCTTCATCCCTACTGATTCGCATCCCTAGAATCTGCTTCGCTGCACCCAGATCCTTCATTGCAAATTCCTTTGCTAGCTGCCTCTTCAAACTGTTTATCTCTTCTAAACACGGTCCTGCTACCAACATGTCATCAACATATAATAACAAAATAATGAAGCTGGACTCGAACCTTTTGAAATAACAGCAATGATCCGAATTGCATCTTCTGTAGCCATTGTTCTGCATGAAGTTATCAAACTTCTTATACCACTGTCTCGGAGCCTGTTTCAAACCATATAAGCTCTTCTTGAGCTTGCACACCATCTCTTCCTTTCCTTCTTCAATGAAGCCAACAGGCTGCTTCATGTAGATTTCTTCATCCAAGTCACCATGAAGAAAGGCAGTCTTCACATCTAACTGCTCAAGGAAGAGGTCTTCTGCAGCTACCAAACTCAACACCACTCTGATGGTTGTGAGTTTCACAACAGGGGAAAATATCTCCGTGTAGTCCACTCCTTCCCGCTGTTGAAACCCTTTCACTACTAATCTGGCCTTGAATCTCTTGCTTCCATCACTCTCCTGCTTGACCCG